CTGCATTGTTGAGTCCCTCATTCATTTTTCTGGCCGCCTTGCATCCAAACAATTTCTCCCCAGCAAGCGTGCCAGATATGGGGCCAAGATGTAGAAGATGTAAAAGACCTGTGAGAGGACAACAGGCTATACTTATAGGTTTCGGATTTATGAGGGAAAAGATAGTCACGTGGAGCCCCTGGATGCCCAGACTACATGGGGAGTAGTAGCAAGATAGTTTGGGACTTGGGGTCACCCTTTTTCCATATGGGGTACCACTTATACGTGGACAATTTTTATTCAAGCGTGCCACTATTTAGACATTCGTACAATCTTGGAAATGGTGCATGTGGCACCGCACGACCTAATGTGTGCCCACCATTAGAAGTGGGTGGATGCAGGGTGGTATATTCTAATGGTGGGCATACCATGCACTTTTTCTGGCAGAGATTTTTTCTCTTTTCATTCAGTCCACAGGCTGCATACCAAAAAATAAATAAAACATAGCATATATACCCAACAAGGACCAGCAACGTACTGGTACATCACTGGACTTTGAATACTACAGCTGCAAGCATCCTGGTATCTTTTTTTGCAGCCAGTGATCGATGTAAAAGCAATCCTAGTGGCTAATTAGCTGCAGGATTGCTTTCACAACCAGCAAGAGACAATGTCCCCCCTCCCCCGCTGCCTTCCACAGCCTTCTAGGGCAGTCCCGTGCCATCGGGGGAACCTGAGAACGCAGCCGGTGTTTCTGGCAGTGAACCATAGAGCTGATTGGTGACTGGAATGGTGTCAATCATCTCTATAGTCTAAGAAATCGGAAGCTACGAGCATTTTATCACTTCAGTTTTGCAGGATATAAACAGCGCCATTTGAAAATTGGGAAAGCATCTGACCACACCGATCTTGGTGAGATTAGATAATGTAAGGGCAGAGGAAAGATTTAGAGTCTGATAGACCCCAGATTTCTCAAAAAAGAATATATGACAATGCCCATCGGGGATATTTGAATTTCCTGTGATAGCATTAAAAGTGATAGAAAAAAAATTTAAAAAATGAAAAGGGACAGTGTAAAAAAAAAAAAAAGAAAAAAAAAAAAAAAAAGCACTCTCAAACCCCCCCCCCCCCCCCCCCCCCCCCCCCTCCCCCCCCCCCCCCCCCCCCCCCCCCCCATGTGTGCAAGCGTTGACCCTGTGCCAGAATGTAAACAGCGGTTGCACCATGCATATGAGGTATTGCTGCAAATGTCAGATCAAGGGCAGTCATTCTAGCACTAGACCTCCTCTGTAAATCTAAAATGGTAGCTTGTAAAGGTTTGTAAAGCGTTGCCTATGATATTAAAAATGTATTATTTTATTCACTATGGTGTCTGCTTTAAAAAAATATATAGAATGTTTGGGGGTTCAAAGTAATTTCCTAGCAAAAAAAATACAGACTTTTTTTCATGTAAACAAAAAAGTGGTGGTAAGAAGAGCGATTGATGTGTGGTATAAACGTCTAATGCTGGGAATAAAATGCCCCCACCACCCCCCAAAACGACCCCTATTTGGAAAGTAGACACCCCAAACTATTTGTTGAGAGGCATGTGAGTCAAAAGAATTTATTTTTTTACCAAAAGTTTTTGAAAAATTACAAATATATATACACATATACACATACATACACACATATATATATATATATATATATATATATATATATATATATATACTATACACACATACACACACACACACACACACACACACACACACACACACACATACATACATTATATATATATATATATATATATATATATATATATATATATATATATACACACATACATATATACACACACACACATACAAAATTGTCACTTAAATGATTTATTGCTCAGAAATGCCATGGGTATATATGGAATTACTCCCCAAGATACATTCTGCTACTTTTCCCGAGTATGGGGGTACCACATGAGAGACTTATTGGCAGTCTAGCCAAGTACAGGACCCCAAAATCCAATAAGCACCTTAAGGCTTTTTTAACCCCTTGCCTAATCGGGCACTTATACCCCCTTCCTGCCCAGGCCAATTTTCAGCTTTCAGCGCTGTCACACTTTGAATGACACTTTGTGCGGTCATGCAACATTGTACCCATATGAAATTATTATAATTTTTTCCAGACAGATAGCTTTCTTTTGGTGGTATTTAAATCACCTCTGGGTTTTTTATTTTTTGCTAAACAAACCAAAATCTGAAAATTAAAAAACAAAAAAACAAAAATGTTTTTTTTCTTAGTTTTTGTTATATAATTTTGTAAATAAGTGATTTTTCTCCTTCACTGATGTGCGCTAATGAGGCTGCACTGATAGGCTGCACTGAAGGGCACGGATGAGGAGGCACTGGTAGGTGGCACAGATGGGCATTGACAGGTATCACTGATGGCCACTGATAGGCAGCACTGATAGGTAGCACTGACTGGCATTGATAGGTGGCACTGACTGGCACTGATAGGCGGCTCAGATGGGCAATGATATGTGGCATTGATGTGCACTGGTAGGCACTGATATGTAGCATTGATGGACACTGACAGGTGGCACTGCTGGGGCTACACTGAACATCAGGGCACACTGATCATCAGTGCCCTGATGATCAGTGGTAGATGTCCCCTCTGAGAGAAATGCAGATAACTGGCATTTCCTTATTTACATGCGATCAGATGTGATTGGACACAGCTGATTACATTACCGAGCCGACGTCTTCGGCTTTCTGTTGATCGGTGATACGCTGTGTCCAAGGGACACAGCACACCACTGATCACCGTGCTAAGCGCCCCCGGACTTGCACACGCGCGGTTAGAATCGGAGGACTTCATATGATGTCCTCCCAAAACGAGAGAACCACCTTACGCCCGTCATTTACGTATATGGCGGGCGGGGGAGGCGGATAAAGGGCTTTATTTCCTCATTACACTTCCTACCTATCACAGTTTCGGAGGCCCTGAAATGCCAGGATACCACCCCCCCCCCCACAAATGACCCCTTTTTGGAAAGTAGACACCCCAAGGAATTTGATAAGAACCATGGTGAGTATTTTGCAGATCTCGTTTTTTGCTACAAGTTTTTGGAACATGAAAAAAAAAATGTTTTTCTTTTTTTATATTTCAAAACTTTGGAAGAAAAAATGAGATCCGTAAAATACTCAGCATGCCTCTTTTTAAATTCCTTGGGGTGTCTACTTTTCAAAAAGAGGTCATTTGGGAGGGTTTGGTGCTATCCTGGCATTTCAGGGCCTCCGAAACTGTGATAGGTAGTGAGGAAGTGAAATGAGGAAGTTACGTACCATCAGGCTTTCAAAGTGGTCATTGGATTTCAGGCTCCTGTATGTGATTAAGCTCCCAAAAAGTCTCACACATGTGGTATCCCCATATTCGGTAGAAGTAGCAGAATGTATTTTGGGGTGTAATTCCACATATACCCATGGCTTGTGTGAGAAAAATATAAATTTAATTAACAACTCTGTGTTAAAAAAAAAAACAAAAAAACAAAACAAAAAAAAAAACAAACTTATTTTCCAAAAGCTTGTGGAAAGAGAAAAAAAAATCTTCCATGGGCGCAATACGCCTTTCAGCAGATAGTTAAGGGTGTCCAGTTTCCGAAAAAGGGGTCATTTCGGGGGAGGGGTTGTACTGTCCAAGTACTTAAGCACGTCAAGAAATGTGATGGGTAGTCAGAAAGTAAAAGCTGTGTAAATCCCATTATCTATACCATAGTTTGTAGATGCCATAACTTTCACACAAAGCAATCAATATACACTTATTGGGACTTTAACCAAAAACATGTAGCAGAATACATTTTGGCATAAATTTATGACCAACTTTGAACTTACAATATATTGTTTATAGCCGAAAATATAGCCGAAAAAGTCTTTCTTCAAAATTTTCGGTCTTTTTCTGTTTATAGCATGAGAAATAAAAAGCGCACAGGTGATCAAATACCACCGAAAGATAGCTCTATTTGTGTGAAAAAAAGGATGTAAATTTCGTTTGGGTACAGCACTGCATGACCGTGCAATTATCAGATGAAATAGTGCAGAGCCGAACAGCAAAAAGAGGCCTGGTTATTAAGGGGGGGTAAATCCTCAGGATGGCAAGTGGTTAATATCGATCAAAGCTGAGAAGTCGCCATGGTACAGAAAGACCACAACAGACCATAGTGATTTCATCCAATACCTGCGCACCTTTATGTTTATAGCGCAAAATATAAAAACCCAGAGGTGATCAAATATCACCAAAAGAAAGCTCTACATGTGACAAAAAAAAGACAAAATTTAAATTTATGACCGCGCAATTGTCCGTGCAATAATGCAGTGTAGTATCACAGAAAAATGTCCTGGTCAGAAAGGGCGGTAAATCTTCATAAGTCAAGTGGTAATCTCTGCAGCAACTAAACTTGCGATAGATCCCAATCAGCATGTGCAACAGGAGAATGTATGGAGAGAACTACGTTTCTCACAATTTAACACGCTAATTCACAATTTAGTGTAATAGGAGGATGAAGGAGAACCATCCAGGGGAACACTGTGCATGTGTGGATTTGTGGGTGAGCAATTACTATTACTTGAGCTGCTCAACATGCCATATGCTCTGGCTTATATGCAGGATGGCGAAGAGAACACACACAATGCAAAACTGTTGTTTTTTTCACCTGGACACTGTGGAAGCTGGGGTTGACCTACAGGTATGCAATTTGAAACCATTATTATCTCTATACCCTTCATAATGGTTTCTAAGCTGCTTAGGCCCCTTGACTACACTACAATGTTTACTGCAAAGGTAAAGTAATCCTTCAGGCAAATGTGTCAGTGTCCTGAATGTGTGAAAAGTGATGATCTACACTGCTGCGCACAACTGAGGATAAGGAATATGATACAGCCAAACCTGCCCAGCCCACTCATGCTCATTGCGTTTCTCCAATTGTGGAGATGACAAAACAGATAGAAATGTCTTTCCACAAACCAGTTTTGTATTTTACTAACCTGTAGATCAGGGCATGCCTTTCTTAAAGTCTGAATTTTTTCTTGAATTTCAATAAGCTTCTTCCTTTCTTCCTGTAACTGTTTCAGCTCTTTCTGCTGCTGCTGTAGCTTAGATTCATAAAATTTCTCCCTGCAATATATAAATGGTTAGCAAAGAGCACCAGCAAAGTTGTCTTTACACAAAATATGTAAATATGAATTACCTTGCTTGTTCTTTAAGAGCTACATCCTTTTGTGTTTTAGACACATTGGCTCGTGTGTTATTTGGTTGTTGTTTAGGGTTTGATTCCTCTGGTAAGGAATGACTTCCATTGGCAGACCTCTCAGCTGCCATTGTCTCAGACTCTGTATCACCATCATACTAAGGAAAGAGAAAAAACATTAACTTGACACTCATCTTCTTAACTGAAAAACAGATTGAAATTCCAGGTTTATCAGCAACCCTGGGCCATGTGTGAAAGGAAAACTCGCCCAATTTGATGCAGATGACTAAAACCAACTGACAATGCTTATAACCCTCCCTTGCCTTTAGTTACATTTTAAACACAAAAAATTACCTTATTGCTTTGGAAAGGTTTGACTGTCAGACATTTTTTCTAAAAAAAAACATCTTAATTTATCATTACATAGGAAAAACTAAGGAAAAGATGCTGGAAAAAATTAATGTTCTTAAAGATGCACTTTAAAGGCATTCTGTCACTTTAACAATGACAGCTGGTATAGATATGCATAGATATAGCCAGTAGCAGATTTCAGTAGCATCCCCTACCTCACCTCAATGACAGGCCACTCTCACTGGGCAAAATGCAGACACTGCCAAAACAATGTTGAAGCTTTATACTCCATTCAGTCAGCACACATTCCTACTAACCAAGCACTATGGTGATGGCTGCCTAACTAGCCAGTAGAATGTGTGAAGATTTGGAGTGGGCAGTCAATGTTCAGCACTGTGGAAGTGCTAAAGCTTTGGCAGATCAGATTCCTTTGCATTCAAGGAAGCAGAAAGTACTAGAATCTGCTGTGAGTATGTCTTTCATATCTGTCAGCAGTCGTAAAGTAACAATCTACAACAAAAAAAGTCCTATTTTTTCATTACAAAGTTACATATTGAATACATTTTTGTTTCTATTACTTATATCAATATAAACTTTCCAGTGTATTATGTGCAGTGCTATAAATATGTAAAAAGTTAATATTCAGCAAAAAACACAATAAATTATGCAAAGTGTACAACAGATGCAAAAATGATTAATGGTTTTAATATATACATTTTTATTTCACTGCAGTACGACTGTGCATGTCATTTGCTAAATATTCCTAAAAATGCATTTATTCTACAACTGTTGGGAGTTTTTTTTAATGTGACATAATCCATCCTCAACATTCACACAGATTTGTAATCAAGACTATTTATCCAACTTACATTAATCTTGGTTCTCCTTAAAGCACAAATCTAAAACCTATACAATACTTCACAGGTCAGAAGAGGTGTACTTCTGTAAAAAGTAGGACTGTAGCCAGACTTAGGACATTAAAATATTTTCATATACTTAATATGCCGTAAATAAGCTTTAAAATAAACCCTCAAGCTCAGAACTCTACCCTCCCTTTTCCCATGCACATGTTCTGTGCTTGCACCAGAGTTTAGAAAGCTGGCAGGCTGCCAAGTCATTGCTAGGACTGGGGGCAAAATGAGCTGAGCTGCTGAATTGAAAGGGTTTCTGATGAAAACTGAGGGCAAATTGCTCCACATGCCTGCAGCTACAGAGGTTAGTGAGGAATTATTTTAAAGAGCAATTGAACCCTGTAAATCCATAAAATGCGTTTCATTAAAACAAAAGTGTGCAAAGTGCTAGAGTTGTTTTCTTTAGAACAGGGGTGTCAAATTCAATTTAATCTTGAACACCATCAGCATTATGGTTACCCTAAAAAAAGGTCTGTAAGACAATATAAATATATCCACTGTTTATTATTTTAAATAATTGCCTAAGCATTTGTCTATTACTAAATTTTAGTAATAACCTAAAGTGGTTGCAAAGGCAGAAGGTTTTTTCCTCTGCAGCCCCCTTAAATACATACCTGAGCCCGATCTCAAATCAGAGATGTACACAAGAGCCGAGGCTGGGGTGAGAGCCCCATTCTGTGTGCCTTATGGGCACACAAGGTAGGGCTCAGAAGCAAGCATGCATGCATGCCCCCAAAGCAAGCAGCTTGCTCAGATATCATTTTGAGTGGGTGGAGCTCAGAGCGCCTACAAGGAACCCGAGAAGAGGAGGATCGGGTATGCTCTGTGCAAAACTATTGCACAGAGCTGGTAAGTATAAAAATATATATATATTTTTTTTAAAATAAACAAGGAATTTTAATATCACATTAACTCTTAAGCTGTGAAGGGCAGGTGCAGACCAGCACGGAGCTCACGCACCCTCTGTAGCAGATGATGGCAGCTGCAGGAGAGTTGCGAGGTTCACATGAAATAGTCTGATGGGCCTTGTGCTTGACACATTTGCTTTAGAAAGTAGCCACAGTATAAGCAGAAAAACATGTCCCCTGCTAATATATTGCAGAAAAGGACCTTTGCTCTCTGTGATCCCTTTTGCAGAGGTCCAACATCCCCTCTCCAGTTATTTCAAGAGCTTGCCAATCAGCATGGAGCATGAGGTTTACCGATTGTAACTGAATAACGGGGGGAGGGGGAGGTGTATCAGACATCTCAAATAAGACTACTGCTTCCACAGAGAGTCTCAGCCTGCAACTGACAGGAGACAGGCTGTGGCTGTTTTAGCAAGAAAATGAACTGAACATCTTAAAGTATACAGTCCAGTGCAAAATACAGACACAGGAACACACTGTGATGAGGGAGTGTCAGCAGGAGGCAGAGAAACAGCAATACAATGACCTTCCTTGTAAAAAAACTGCGCAGGGGGCAGACAAGCAAAAGTCTGTCCACTGGAGTACGAACAGGCTGTGCTCCCAGGTGGAAAGCAAAGAAGCAAATGGACCACGCTGTAATGGATGTGCTTCCATGCCCCAGCATGGTCAGTTTGAAACAGGAAAGGAAAAAACAAAAAAGGAAGCAATGCAAGAACAGGATAATGTTTTTATGAAAGTAAATTGTTACACAGACACATATGAGCAATATGAAATGCTGGTGTAAAAACACTTTAAAGCTCATTTACTGCTAGTTGACAACAGGTAAATATTTGAATGTCCATTCCTTGGTCAAAGATGTACTTTAAAGAAGTAGCATTTAAAAAGAAAAATGCAAGTGTATTTAAACAGACAGTGTAAAGTTCACCAATGATGTAGTTAACCCACAGTTAGCATCCACATTTCAGTTTACTGGAATCAAAAACTGCCTCACTGTTAACAGACACCTTTCTTTTTTGCTTTTGTAATACAACATGCCTACTCTTACCCTCTACATATATATTAGACTTGGTCCTTCCCAAAGATACAACTACTTGAAATAATAACAAATATAAACACACCATTGCAATAAGATCCTGAAGTTGTTTAAGTTTGTGTTTGGCTGCAATAAGACGGTTGAATTTTTCCTCATATTCAGCAGTTTGGGCCTCTTCAGTGACACTACTCCGACTTGATAGAGACACCACACTCTCCTGGTCATCATCTGCATCTTCATCTTCTTCATCATCATCATCATTATCATCATCATCATCATCCAAATCAACATTGAGATGTTGTTCTTCATCTCTAGATTCCCTATTGTACAGGCATTCTACAATGGGAGGGAAAGCCATTAACCCTGGCTCAACAAAGTCAATTCAGTCAAATTAATTTTTTTATTTTTTATTTCAGCTAGTTTAAAATAATGGCCATTATGGCTTAAAGACAAAAGAACTGAACCTAAACAAAGCTGAAAATGAACATGAAATGAATAATGTAGAGACCACTATCAGGAAGCAGGGATTATACCATATGCCAAATATTTTATGATTCACCTATGTTTTCTTATAAGGTAACCTTTCATTTACAAGCTCAGATTTACTTGGAATTTTTTTTGTGGCACAAGTTTAGTTTAAGTCAAACTGCTTACATTCATAAAAAGTATTACTAAACCCACCATAGTAAAATCTGTGTATGCAGTAAAGCGCGCTTGTTATACTTACTGCGGAACTAAAGTGGTTAATCCTCTGAATTGTGTAAAAAGGCTGTTAGATCCTTTCTTCTCTGCCCCTCCTCTTTTTGAAATGACAACTGATACAGACTGAATCCGTAGTCACATGCACAGTTTGGTGTGTATTAATAAAGAGGGTTTTTTTTATTTTCTTGGGAGAGTGCATGTGATCAGCACAGGGCCAACGAGCACTGTCCAGACAGAGAGTCAAGGGTTTCACATCCTCCTAGAGCAGAAAGAAAACTCCTTCTACAAGCTTTAACCAGTGCTCTGCTGAAGTCACAATACTGCTCTAACTGCTGATGAGACAAGGTATTTAGAAGTTTATATTTACTAAAATAATTGCATTTCCATGTTTTGTGTATCTTGGGAGACCAGATATATTGAATGCAGGTTCCTGGGTTTAGAAACACTTTAACATAACTAGCAAACTTCGCCACAGTGCTAGGACAAGGTCATCCAGAACCCAAACTGCCCCATCTGCTAATGAAAATGGGTAAGCATAGTACTAAGCCGTATTTTATAATATAACATTTTTGTAATGACCATAAAAAAGAAAATAAATAAATACAAAACCAATGTACATCCTGGGATCTAACCAATTTGAAAAATAAGCGTACACATCTAGTTCCTTCACTTCATTCTTAACAAGGCATAATACTAAGGGCAGATTTAACTACACAATGAGTTGGTTTAATTATAAAGTTATGCTCACTGGAGCTTCACTCCAACGTGCACTTAATGTTCATTCAAAGCACCCACAAAAAGATCAAGCATTATATCACAAGACAGATAGCAGACAGGGACAAAGTGGTATATATATCTAGACTAACTTCCTAACAAGACCTGGTTGTAAGGTCAGAAATATCAAGTCACAGACAGTGAATGCCAATACAGTCTACTGATGCATACCTAATGCAGAGGACACATTGAAGGTTCTTAAATTAACCGAAGACCTGTTGTTTATTTCACATTCAGTATTAAGTGGCCTTTCATCCCTGTTATTATTTCCACAATGCGAGTTAGAAATGCTATTCACTGCTGCCCAGCTACTCAAACGTTGTGGATTCCTAAAGAAGTGAAAACAGATAGTATTACTAAACATGTAAGCTCTAATAAAATAAACCTGCAAAAATGTCTGTTAATAAAACTTATTATGGTAGCATTTGCTTGTTTTTATACAAAGATTCTACTATAAAGACAAAAACACTGCTAGAACATATTTATTGAACAGAACAAGATCTGCTTAACCGCTTCCTGACCACCCTATAGCAGATATACTGCTACAGAGTGGCACGGGTGTGCAAAATCACGTGTATATATACACGTGATTTTGCATTTCCAGGTGCAAGGCACGCGCCCTACCCGCACCACCATTCACAGTGGCGGCTGTCAATCACCAGGCCCTGGCCGGTGATTACTAGCCGGCGCCCAGCGATTGCCGAGGATCTCTGACAGGGAGAAGACAGCTATCCTAGAGCCTGCAGCAGCCTGAGATTGCCCCCATAATCTGCTGTTTACAGGTGCAATACGCTGCAGGTTCCTTAAGAAAAAAGTGCACAATTTTTTACCGGCAAATAAATTGGGGTTTTTTTTTTTTTTTTTTTTTTTTTTTAAAGGTGAACTTAGCCTTTAACACAGCAAACACCTGCTCAGAACAGTACTGATCATACACTGGTCTGTCAAAGTCTGCAATGAATCCTTGACCAAGTTATTCTGCTAAACTAGAGTGACAAATTACAGGAACACAATACTGGTGAAATGTAAGAACTTCAATTTAAAATCTCACTTTCATGCTGGGCTGATATACTTTTTAATGGTTTAAGGAATTTAAACTGCAAGCTCTGTTCTTACTGTTGGGCATGTTTGAGTCACTAAGGTGTCACCAGTTCTTGTAGCCCTGCATAGGTCTTCAGGCAGCCCCTCACTATACAAAGCCAAATTGTCACTTTAAAAGGCATGTGTAAATCAGAGGTGTAGGAAACTCATTACAAATGGCATTGACGAAAACTTACAAATAATTCTAGTTTATATATTATAAATTGTATTTAACCTGATGTTTATAACTGGTTGGTTCACTTCCTGGTCAGATTCAATCCAGGAGTCTTCAGTTTCCTCCTCATCCTCATCTTTAGTGTTTTCATTTATAGCGTCTGTCATCATGTCAGATGTTTGCTCATAATAGCGGACAAGGTCACGGAGCTCATTAAGCCTTTTCCGAACTTCTTTCAGTTTTCTAAAAATAAAACCGCAGGGTTTTTTCAAAACTCAGTCTCAATATTTAATTTCTCTCAGATGTGCAGGAGATTGCATTAGCCTATAATGACAGACTTAGGGTCTTCATAAAGAAATGCTATTATAACAGTCAACTGGATCCACAACATAAAGGCAAAGATGACAGCTGCAAGTGAATTCAGTATGTTAATGGCATCAAAAATCTCCACAGTGGATTAGAAAACAAGGCCTTCCAGAAACATGATTGTGAGCAGAACCATGAAGCAATTACACTCAGAACATTAATGCATAACAACCACATGGAACCCTTAAAGCTGAACTCCAGCCAGGACTATTTGAACATAAAATGATATTATACTAAACTTTTCATGCAAGTGTTCTCCCTCTTCCAAATCTTCCATTAAATCAGTGCTCAGTCATGATGTGTCACCCTGATTTTCTTTTTACAAGACCGGTGGCCATTTCCCCTGGCTATTGATTGAGCAACTTCCCCTTTGTAGTTCTGTGCTAGAGCAAGCAAAATGTCACCAAACTGCTGCTTGATCAAGTGTTCAGGAACCTGGCATCAAACTCCCATTGTGCAAATTGAGGGACAAGCAAGGAGACTTCTGGTCTGTCCCGCCCAGCACAACCTCACATTGTAATCCCACCCAGTCACAAAAGATAGCCCATGGAATCATGAGAATTCTAGTTTGCAATTGTGGGGGCTGTTCAGAGAGAATGTGCCATAACTGCATCTCTACATCGGAGTCCCAGCCAGTGCTGTTTAAAAGGATGCAGGAACAATGACATCACAGCGTTTTCAAAGATTTCTACTTAACTGGGCTCCTTTTCTTTTAGCAACACCAAGCACTCATACATATTGATCAGCAGCAAAGATGAAATTTTGCAGGTATCCCAGATTCAGCTTTAAATAAATAATACAAATTGAGTAAATACTGCTTGATTATAAAAAGAGAGCAATGCAGCAGGTGTTTAAAATACTTCAAACTGAAGATCCCATCTAAGCCTACCACTAGCAAGGTCAAAACGGAGCGACACAAAGAGTGTGTAAAAACCCCAGGGGCAAAGCCTTGTCCTGGGAATGGAATATCTTCTACTGCTTAACCCTCCATCGTAGAACGTAGAGCCCCTATGGAGCTTAAAGACCTTACAGAGGTAGTTATTAAATCCACTGACAAGGGAGGGAACGTGGTGATTTGAAAAAGAGAGGGATTATGTTGAAGTTGTGTACAGACAGTTGAACAACAAGTTGTGTTATGAAATGTGTAAATAATCCCTTTCCTGCCCTTGTCACTGACATTAATTTCAAGCTTGAGAGAGCCTTTGAAGTGGGGTTAAGAAAAAAGAAAAAAAAAAAAAAAAAAAAAAAAAAAAAAGAACAGGACTACCTGAGTGTAGAAGAATATAATATTCCAAACTCCTGGGACATTATGTGGATAAGAGAATTAGACACCTAGTGGAAGAATTCCACTCATTTGTCCTGGACACAGGGGATCTTTGAATAAAGTTGACATATTTGAAGGTCCCGGTGGTTTGCATTCTGGCAAGGGTGGATGTGGAGTCATTATACACGTCCATTCCCAACCAGAAAAAAATCCAGGCCATTACAGATTGATTGGAATTGAGAAACCCCTTGTCTGGTCCACAAAATGAATTCCTGGTGGAATTGCTGGATTTCATACTCCACAATAATTTCTTCATGTTTGACGTTAAGTTTTACTGTCCGACTACAGGAGTTGTGATGGGCATGGCATGTGCACCATCATACGTGTGTTTGCATTTAGGCTGGTGGGAGAAAACTATAGTATATAAGAATCCTAGATATCACACAAATGTAACTATGTGGGTTCGCTATATGGATGACGTGCTGGTGGGTGTGGAGAGGATCAGTGGATGAGTTCCATTCATTTATACAAGAATTAAACCTTAACGATAAAAATATTTTCCTTGCATATAAAGTGGATCAATATGAAATGGAAATCCTGGATTTGAAAATTTAAAAAATGTAGGAGACAGAATGGAGACTACCACATTCCGCAAATCCAAGGTGGAAAATTCTAGATTGCAAGCTCCAAGGAGCAGGGCCCTCCTATCCCTCTTGTATTGAACTGTATTGTTGCTGTATTGTCTCCCTTTATATTGTAAAGCGCTGAGCAAACTGTTGGCGCTATATAAATCCTGTATAATAATAATAATACTCTTCTCCATGCCACCAGCCATCACCTGTGGCCACTAAATTAGAGGGATCCCATATGGACAATTCTTAAGAAGTAGAAGGAATTGATCAAATATAGACGATTACTATATTGAGAGCGAAGAATTAAAAGAATCTTAATTTAGTGTTAGAAAGAGGAAGAGTGAAAGCATTAAAACAAAACAGGACACAGTTGCTGCAAAATAGAAACTATAGAAAGAAATTAAAGCAAGACAAACGGGGGTTGGTCACCAGGTATGGAACACATTGACGCTAGCTAGAGTCAGTGTTAAACAAGCACTGGCATATTTTAATGCTAGATTAACAAACATACTGGGGAAAAGACCCTGGATTATAGCAAAGAAAGCCCCTACCATAGGTGACACTCTAGTTCGCAGAGAATATAGAAGGAGCAGAAGTGAACCCATGAATATACAAACACCATTAAAGGGCATGTTTGCAACTGTTCTTATAAGGATGAATATCTATGCCTATGTATACAACTAGCGATTGGCCTCCAGCCAGGCACAAAGGGTAAAGGATTGGATTTCGCCCATGTTTGGGGAAAATTGCGGATAGAAAAGGAGATTTTGGGGCTCGGTGCCCTGTTTTGCAATGTGCCTGTATGTCAACCAATCGGTAGGGGGGACCCACGTGGTGTATATAGTAGAATTATCCCTGGGAGGTTCCAAATTGTGTTGTCACAGGAGGCACCCACCTGCGTCACACAGGCTGTGTACAGGTCAATCAGCTACCTTTTACTGCGTAATTCTGGTAGGCTGGTGCCTATCAGGAGGTAGCCGGGATGATCTCTGAGGAACTACTGTGGTCTGGAGGGAGCAGCGGCATCGAATGGCTGGGCACACTATCATAAAAATGGTCCACCTCAAGTGGGGCATTGTAGTTGTCCCTCCGCTCTTTCCACCACCAAGTGGGTTACACCCGACATTACTCCTATTGGAACTATATTATTCTATTGTGGATTTGAGCCAGGTATTCATAATCACAGACTCTTACAATCCTTCACCAGTTTCAGCACTGCTACAGAGGGACTCTTTGGGGGATATTTTCCAGCTTTTCTAGGATAAGGGGACTAGGGGAATATAGAGAGGAGTGGGGAGGTGGTGGATCCGGGTGATCTAGAGTGTGGTGGGGGTCAGGCTGGGGGGTGCTGGGTTTGTAAGTTGGGGGGGGGATCGGGTGGAGTTGAGGGAGGAAGGGTAGAGGGGTGGTTTGGACTGGGCACATGGATTGTTTTGTATGGTTCCAACACATACTTTTTATGTCCAGAATAAATACTGCCAATGATAGCCTGTGAGGTGCATATCCTTTTTGGTGTTTTTTGTTGTAGGTACACAAAGTGTACATATACATTTCACAATGGATAACATACAAAAAGCATGGACTATACAGGCCATGGCAAAAGCAGCACATTCTAGTGCATAACATGTCACCAATTCATAGCTATTAAGAAGTTAAACATCCCCATTAGGGAGACTTACCCTTTTTACATTTGACTATAAAAAGAAAGTAAAATTCTGAGTTGCCACCAATACAGGAACAGAGGGGAAAGCTTCCAATAGGGACATTTGTTTATATAACACTATCTAAGAGAGAATTTGCCATAGGACAGTAAGTGAAGGGAACTCTCCCTTGCAGGAGTACTTTACAGCAATAATGTGCATAATGTATCTTTATCTGGATGTCCCTGGTAACGAATATACTTGTTATTCAATAATGTATAAACTATTTTACTTCATTAAAAAGGGCTGTTTTAAACATTCAAGTTTAGTGATTTTTAGAAAGCTATACATGTATAACAGCAAACATTATAATTGACGCTTTGCAATCAAGACTAAGAAAGAGTTACTTTAGCTTTTCGGCTGGATTTTGATTTTCTTCATCTTCACTATCATTCACAGAGTTAGCAGAAGGAAAAGCAGCCACTGCTGCAGGGCTGTTTGCAGCCCTATTGTCAGAGATCTGTGTAGCAGAAGTAGCTGAACTTGTGCTCCTTTGATCCACACCCCTTTGAGGGGAGCCTATTTAAATGGAGAAAATAAAACACAAAATGAAAAGGAGAAAAACAAAACTGCAGCATAGCAGAGGGCACACATTAGATGTGATATACATAAGGAAAAGCTGGATTCTATTCCAACCTCAAAAATCCTGAAGATAAACAGAGATAAAACTAAACCTGGACTTAAATGATCTACTACAACCACACTCCTAACAAAAGAAAAAAAAAATTGGCTAGTACAATGGGTATACCCAGTAGGGGAGGAACAACTTTTCGTAGGCATGCAATACATATACACTATATTGCCAAAACTATTGGGATGCCTGCCTTTACAGGCATGTGAACTTTAATGGCATCCCAGTCTTTGTGGGTAGGTTGCAATGTTGAGTTGGCCCACCCTTTGCAGCTATAAAAGCTTCAACTCTTCTGGGAAGGCTGTCCACAAGGTTTAGGAGTGTATCTATGGGAATGTTTGACCATTCTTCCAGAAGCGTATTTGTGAGGTCAGACACTGATGTCGGTCGAGAAGGCCTGGCTTGCAGTTTCTGCTCTAATTCATCCCAAAGGTTTTCTATCAGGTTGAAGTCAGGACACTGTGCAGGCCAGTCAAGCTCCTCCACCCCAAACTCACTCATCCATGTCTTTATGGACCTTCCTTTGTGCACTTTCATGTTGAAACAGCAAGGGGACATCTCCAAAAACTTTTCCCACAAAGTCGGGAGCATGAAATGGTCCAAAATGTCTTCGTATGCCGACGCCTTAAGACAGGCGTCCTCAAACTTTTTAAACAGGGGGCCAGTTCACTGTCCCTCAGACCGTTGGAGGGCCGTACTATAGTTTAAAAAAAAAAAACTATGAACAAATGCGGACACAGTACAGGAGATGGACCAGAGACTGCGGGCACAGTACAGGAGATGGACCAGAGACTGCGGGCACAGTACAGGAGATGGACCAGAGACTGCAGGCACAGTACAGGAGATGGACCAGAGACTGCGGGCACAGTACAGGAGATGGACCAGAGACTGCGAACATACAACGGCGGCGGGAATACTGGGCTGGCTGCTCCATAAGATGCACAGACATTTCCCCCCAAGTGTGTCTTATGGGGAGGAATCGTGCCCCGTCGTTGGCGTCAGCGGGGGGAGGAATCGTGCCCCGTTGTTGCCGTCAGCGGGGGGGAGGAATCGTGCCCCGTCGTTGGCGTCAGCGGGGGGAGGAATCGTGCCCCGTCGTTGGCGTCAGCGGGGGGAGGAATCGTGCCCCGTCGTTGGCGTCAGCGGGGGGAGGAATCGTGCCCCGTCGTTGGCGTCAGCGGGGGGAGGAATCGTGCCCCGTCGTTGGCGTCAGCGGGGGGAGGAATCGTGCCCCGTCGTTGGCGTCAGCGAGGAATCGTGCCCCGTCGTTGGCGTCAGCGGGGGGAGGAATCGTGCCCCGTCGTTGGCGTCAGCGGGGGGAGGAATCGTGCTCCGTCGTTGGCGCCAGCGGGGGAGGAATCGTGCCCCGTCGTTGGCGTCAGCGGGGGGAGGAATCATGCCCCACAGGGGCGGACTGACCATTTGGAAACTCGGGCACTGCCCGAGGGCCCAGGGTCAGCAGGGGGCCCCATGAGATTCCCCTGGTACCTTTTTCATAGGCTTTTTGAGTTTGGGCAAGGACACGGGCCCCATGAGTTGTCAGTCCGCCCCTGGTGCCCCATCATTGGTGTCAGTGGGAGGAATAATGCCCCATCATTAGTATCAGTGACACCAATGATGGGGCACTATTCCTCCCACTGACACCAATGACACCTAACTTGCTGACCCTTTTCCAGCATGGTGCTGCTGTAGCCAACATACCTGGTTGCAGCAGCACCATCAGCACGGCACACTTACCTGTCAGCTGTCCTTCTTCACTCTGGCCTCTCCACCACTCGAAGTTCGCAGGGCCGCTCGGCTCTGCCTCCTCGCAGGTGATTGGCCGCCTGTGTGACTTTCCTGAGCTACAGTTCTGGCGCCCAATCACCGGTGAGGAGGCAAAGCCGAGCGGCAGGAGTGAGGGAGTGGCCGGAGTGAATGAAGGAGCAGCGCTTCCTGGACTGGATCATCGTGGGACTGGGACCGGAGCCAGGTAAGGTACAGCAGCCCCCTGCCCGCCCCTGTACTTAGTGTCCCTTTCTGTCCCGCCCCTTCCGGCGGGCCAGATAAATGGCCTCGGCGGGCCGCATGTGGCCCGCGGGCCGTAGTTTGAGGACCCCTGCTTAAGAGTTCCCTTCACTGGAACTAAGGGGCCAAGCTCAACCACTGAAAAACAACCCCACATTATAATCCACGCTACCAAACTTTACACCTGGCATAATGCAGTCAGGCAAGTACCGTTCTGCTGGCAACAGCAAAACCCAGACACATCCATCGGATTGCCAGACAAGAGAAGCGTGATTGTTCTAGAAAAAAAAAAACCCAATTGCAATATTAAAAAGACAAACCTGAGCTGTGCCGCTGTCTTATTTATTTTGTGGTCAGGCAAACACAAAAACTGAGATATAGTAAAACAATCACTGTGAAGTTCTTTACTCACATGCAGTGTTATTTAAATGGTGATCTTGTAGTGTGTGGAGTTCTCCCAAAATAGAGTCCATTTTCTGTTTCTTTTCCAACAGTACCCCAACTTTACTAAATAGTGGAGTTCTGTCCTCTAAAACGGGTTCAGAAATGGACGAATTCAAACTTCGAGAAACCTCTCTTGTAAGAGAAAGGCTCTCTGCTTGTCTTCTATTATCTGGTACTGGAGGACTCTAAAAGTAAGAAAAATAAAACCAAAAGAGCAGCTTACAGATAAAAACCAACAGAAATGAATACCAAAATCCAAACAGAGTCAAATCTGAACATTTTATGACAAGATTTAAAAAAACAAAACAAAAAAAACTTGTAAGAGCAGAGCAATATTTGAAAGATGGAGTCCTAAACAATTAGCAATGAGAGAAATATTACACTGTATTTAGACAACACATCGATCTTACCTGAACATCATGCAGTTGGTTATGAAAACGCTGGATCAGGTCATTCAGTTCTTCATTTAGCTCTGATGTTAGGCTCAGTCCAGACACACTTCCAGTTGTCTCTGTAACAACTTCAAAGACCACAAAAAAAAAAAAAAAAAAAAAAAAAAAAAAAAAAAATATATATAGGTTTATATGGCCGAACAATCACTTCGATGACTCCACATTCTTCACACTGAAGTTCGTTCTTAATGACAGTGGCTGCATGTTTAGTGTCGTAGTCTTGCTGCATAATAAATTTGGGAGCCACTCGCCTCCCTGATGGTATGACACAATGGATAGGTATCTGCATGTATGTGCACGTATCTCTATCATACACACAGATATATATATATCTCTATCTACACACACACACACACACACACACACACACACACACACACACACACACACACACACACACACACACACACACACAACACACACAGTACACTGAGTACACCCCTTTTGAAAAGTAAATTTTAATTAATATCTCAATGAACACAAGTACAATTTCCAAAACTGAGTTTTATAGAACATTTGTTAAGCTCATTACTTGAAAGTAAAGTTAATAATATAAGCTGGATTACAAAATCTTCAGTTTTACTCAAATTAGTTGATGAAAAAAATTAATACACCCCACAACAAAAACTACTACATGTAGTATTTTGTATGACCTTCATGATTTGTGAGGATAGCACTAAAATTTCTAGGCATGAACAAGTTGGCGACATATTGCAACATCTATCTTTTTCCATTCTTCAAGAACGACCTCTTTTAGAGTCTGGATGCAGAGTAATGCGCAACTTGTCTCTTCAGAATTCCCCATAGGTGTTTGATTGGATTCAGATCAGGAGATATACTTTGTCACTGAATCACTTTTACCCTGTTCTTCTTAAGAAATGCAACAGTGGCCCTAGATGTGTGTTTTGGATCATTGTCATGTGCACGATGACCAAGGGCATGGAGTGATGTAGCATCTTCTGTTTCAATATACAGCAGTACATCTGTGAATTCATGATACCATCAAAGAAATTAAGCTCCCTGACACCAGCAACACTCATACAGCCCCACAAAAGGACACTGTCACCACGTTTCACTGTAGGCACCATGTATTTTTCTTTGCACTCCTCAGCTTTGAATCCATCAGTTCCAAAAACATTTATCTTGGTCTCATCACTCACAGTACAGAGTCCCAGTAGTCGTCTTCTTTTTAAGCATGTGCCCTGGTAAATTCTAGGTGGGCTTTTTTTGTGCATGGGCTTCAGGAGGGGCTTCCATCATGGATGACACCCATGCATGCCATTCCTCTGCAGCGTATGCCATATTGTGTCACGGGAAAAATTCACCCCACTTTGGCTTTCTACCTCTTTAGCTAACTGCAGTGCACTTGCATGGTGATTTTCTGTAACCCTTCTCATCAGAAGATGCTTCTGTCGAGGTGTTAACTTCTGTGGACAGCCTGGCAGTCTCTGTGAGATGGTTGCTGTTCCATCTTTGCTAACGTTTTGTATTACTTTTGCTACAGTATTCTGACTGATAATTAAAGTTTTGCTGATCTTCTTGTAGCCTTCAACTTTCTTGTGTAAAGAAATTATTTTCTTTCTCAGGCCTTGTGACATTTCGCTTCCAGGTGGTGCCATTGCTGACAGCATGAAATGGAAAGAGGTTTTCTGCAATTAACTCCCTTTTATAATCAACTGTCTGCTGGGCACCTGTTTAATAAAGCTAAATTTTAGACAACAAAATCCTAATTAACAAGAATGCAACTACAGGTGAGTCTAATTATTCATTAGAGTATCCTCCTGCGCTCAATATAGGCACAATCCCTATCTAAACAGCTGCTGTCACTTAAAACTTAACCATTCAGTAACCAATAATATATACCTTAAACAGTGAAGCGCTAAATAAATCAATAAATATATATATTAAGGTGCCATCAGTGGATATAAGTGCTATAGTGTTAATAGTTCCTTGTAGATCACTGGAACATTCCAACCAATAGTGTATAAAATTAGAAACCAAACTGAATGCTTAATATATCAGTGAAAAATACTAAATAAATAAATAAATATATATAAACACACCAGTGATAAATATTCTAATACCTCCAATAAAATCCTTCTTCTCATTCACAAAAAAAGTGCTCATTAGTGAACAAATAATGATTATTTGTTCACTAATGAGCACTTTTTTTGTGAATGAGAAGAAGGATTTTATTGGAGGTATTAGAATATTTATCACTGGTGTGTTTATATATATTTATTTATTTATTTAGTATTTTTCACTGATATATTAGGCATTCAGTTTGGTTTCTAATTTTATACACTATTGGTTGGAATGTTCCAGTGATCTACAAGGAACTATTAACACTATAGCACTTATATCCACTGATGGCACCTTAAAATTTAGCTTTGCTTCTAAGACTTTCATTGGGGTGTATTCATTTTTCCAACATGGTCCTGAATGAATTTAAGAAAAATACTGTGTGTGTGCAAATTCACAAATCTGGTCTGCAATCAATGGTCCACATTTGTGGGAGTACTTTGTAATATAGTGTCCCATAGAAAAATGTTGATTCTGAAAGGAAAGTAAAGGTTTTCTGAAAAATCTGTACGGGTGTACTCATTTATGCGGAGACACAGACACACACCAAAAAAATTTAAGGAACACTTTTTAATCAGAGTATAGCATCAAGACAATCAAACTCCTGGGATATTGATCTGATCAGTTAAGTAGCAGAGGTGGTTGTTAATCAGTTTCAGCTGCTTTGGTGTTATTGAAATTAACAAGTGCACTAGATGGACAACAATGAGACAACCCCTAAAACAGGAATGATTTTTACAGGCCACTGAGATTTTTTCCCCTTGTCATCTTTTCTGCTTTTCACTAGTTTTGCATTTGGCAAGGGTCAGTGTCACTACTTGTAGCATGAGGCAATACCTGGACACTACAGAGGTTGCAAAGGCAGTCGAACTCATTTAGGATGGCACACAAATACATGTCACTGCCAGATGGTTTGCGGTGTTTCCCAGCACAGTCTCAAGAGCATGGAGGATATTCCAGGAGACAGGCAGTTACTCTAGGAAAGCTAGACAGGACTGTAGAAGGTACTTAACCCATCAGCAGAACCAGTATCTGCTCTTTTGTGCAAGGAGGTACAGGATGAGCACGGCCAGAGCCCTACAAAATGACCTCCAGCAGGCCACTGGTGTGAATGATTCTGATTGTTTGGTCAGAGACAGATTTCATGAGGGTGGCCTGAATGCCTGACGTCCTCTAGTGGGCCCTGTGCTCACTGGCTGGCACCATGGAGCTCGATTGGCATTTGCTATTGAACACCAGAATTGGCAGGTCCGCCACTGACGCCCTGTGCTTTTCACAGATGAGGGCAGGTTCACCCTAAGCACATGTGACAGATGTGAAAGGGTCTGGAGAAGACGTGAAGAACGTAATGCTGCCTCTAACATCATTCAGCATGACCATTTTGGTGGTGGGTCAATGATAGTTTGGGGAGGCATATCCATGGAGGAACACACAGACCTCTACAGGCTAGACAATGGCACCCTGACTGCCATTAGGTATCGGGATGAAATCCTTAGACCCATTGCACCAGCGTAGGGTCTGACCGAGGGTCCTGGGTTCCTCCTGGTGCACGACAATGCCTGGCCTAATGTGGCAAGAGTATGCAGGCAGTTCCTGTACGATGAAGGAATTGATACCATTGAATGGCTTCCACCCTGCAAAGGGTGCAGAGATCCCACATAGTGAAAGCATTCCATGCTACTGTCAAATAATTCCTTCACCTAGAAACGAACCTGTCCACTATGTAACTGAATCAGGATATCAAGTGGCCTGCATCCGATGTCCTCCACACAGGTTCTAGAATGCATTTAGGTGTATGAACTGCTCCTGTACATCCAGAAGTAACCAGCTGGAGGGCGCCTGACAGCACCTGAGATGGACAAAGCAAACAAGACTAGAATGTAAAATAAAGCCTAGGTCAGGTCTGTCTTGTTGCAGTAAGATTTACTGTTCCACCTTAATACACAGTATGCACAATAAGGCAAGTATTTTGACCAAATCATAATTTGTATGCATATTATCCATCTCCAAGCTGTATAAATGTGCTTATTGGATTTAAGAATATCAGGTGATGTTTATTTGTGTAATGTGGGAGGGTGTGGCCCAAGGAGATCAACATCCTATTACCAAGGTGTGCAAAATTATTAGGCAGCTTCTTTTCCTCAGGCAAAATGGGCCAAAGAAAGATTTAACTGACTCAGAAGAGTCAAAAATTGTAAAAAGTCTTTCAGAGGGATGTAGCACTCTAGAAATTGTTAAGATATTAGGGCGTGATCACAGAAGCATCAAATGTTTGTTGCAAATAGTCAACAGGGTCGCAAGAAACATGTTGAGAAAAAAAGATGCAAAGATGGGAGAAAAATTAAAATGTGAAGCTACCAGCAACCCATTCTGCAGTGCCTCCAATCATATTCCAGAACTGCAACCTACCTGCAGTGCCAAGAAGTACAAGGTAAGGGAGGCTGAAACCTGACCACCACTGAACAAGACACAAGTTGAAACGTCAAGATTGGGCCAAGAAATATCTGAAGACAGATTTTTCAATGGTTTTTTTTGGACTGATGAGATGAGAGCGCCTCTTGATGGACCAGATGGAGGGGCCCCTGGCTGGATCAGTAACGGGCACAGAGCTTCACAATGACTTAGACACCAGCAGGGTGGAGGTGGGTTACTGGTATGGGCTGGTATTATTAAAGATGAGCCAGTTGGACCTTTCTAGGTTGAAGATGGACTCAAAATCAACTCCCAAACCTACTGACAGTTTTTAGAAGACTTTCTTGAAGCAGCGGTACAGGAAAAAGTCTGCATCTTTCAAGAAGACCATGATATTTATGAAAGACAATGCTCCATCACATGCAACAAAGTACTCCACTGCGTGGCTAGCCAGTGAATGCCATAAGGATGAAAGAATAATGACATGGTCCCCTTCCTCACCTGACCTAAACCCTATTGAGAACTCATGGGTCCTTCTTAAAAAAGAAGATTTACAGTGAAGGAAAACTGTACACCTTTCTGATTAGTGTCAGGAAGGCTGTGGTTGCTGCTGCCAGAAATATGTCAGAAATATTTATTTGTAAAGTTAAAAATTGTTTATTATTCTCACTTTAACAGATGAAAACAAACAGGTGAGATAGGAAGAGTTTCATTTTTCATTTAGTTGCATAATAATTCTGCACACTAATAGTTTCCCATTAATTGTGCATACATCAATATTTTCCTAAGAAAGCTAAAACCTTACTTTTACTTACTTTAATACTCAGGTTTGAGGTTTATTAACATTTTGGATTTACTAAGAGCACTGTAGTTGTTCAATAATAAAATTTATCCTCAAAAACAAAACTTGCCTAATAAATTGTACACACATTGTAGAGACATTGCAGCATTGAGGCCGAAGCTGCCTGCAAGTGATGAGAGGATTACAGTGCCCTTTTCTGATGATTCAAAATCCAACCAAAACACAGAGATATCAAGGAAAAAAAATTTTGCCCAGAGTTTTGCTTTAAAGTTTTCTATTCTGCTCCTTTGAATTTTCCTGTCACTGTGGTCGAACACAAATATCGATTTGATACCACTAACAATTATAAACTCAAAACATTTGTTTGTGTATGGCCAGCATAAGTGAAAGCACTTGCAGGTAGCTTGTATTAAGTTACCTCCCTATGAGTTTTATATTACAGTCCAATCTAAAAATCTGCAAAACAGCATTTTAGGTCTCTTCGTTTTGTTTTTCTTTATATAAAAAATTTGATCTCTAAGTCTGATGGTATTTACCAGAGTCAAACTCTAATACTATATACATCTCATCTGTTATTCTCAGAGCGGATTAGATATTTTGTTACTCTGACCATACAGGTGGTTATTTAGATTTACCACTGCATATTGATATTAAAGAATAAATTACTGTACATTCTATATTAACTAAATTATACACCAAACTTTTTTTAGAGGTTTTTATCCAATTAATTGAAACCATAAAATCAGCCAGCTAATCGATTATGAAAATAATCGTTAGTTGCAGCTCTAGTTAAAACCTTAGCATAGGATGAACTCTGGTACCTGCATTATTTATTTTTTTATTTTTGGCATGTGTTTTGGAGCTTTTTCACGCATAGGACAGCCCATTTGGAACTGCGACATACACTCCAAAACCTTTTTTGAAGCAGAGTGTAGCACGTTTTTCACAGTTCGTTTTGGAGTGTTTGCAACATAGTAAAACGCACACCTACTACCCGTACATGGAGAGATATTAAAGCGTTACTAAACCCACACAGCAAAATCAGTCTGTATATGCAGTAAAGCATGCTTGTTATACCCACTGTGGAATGTATGGAGCAAATACTCTGCATTTTGTAAAAAGGATGTTTGATCCGGTCTTCTCTCATTCTCCTCTTATTCCACATTCCCATTTCATCTCCTGATAGAACAGAGCCTCGAGGACACTCTGCACATGCTCAGTTTGGTGTGTATTGCTCGAGAGATTTGCTGTTTCTTTGAAGGGTGCATGTGATCAGCACAGGACCAATCAGCCAGGGGTTCTGCACCCTTCTACAGCAGAATGAAAATTCCTCTTACAAGCTTTAACTAGTGTTCTGCTGAATACTGATAAAAGTCACAAGGCTGCTCTAACTGCTGATGAGAAAAAGTATTTTGCAGTTAATATTTACTAAAATAATTGCATTTCCATGTTGTGTGTGCTGCGGGAGACCAGATATAGTGAATGCAGGGTCCTGGGTTAGTAACACTTTAACAATTAAGGGCATCATAAACGCAGCATTTATAGTGCGTTTATGAAACGTGGGGCAAAATGTATTTTTTGTGTGTTTTGTCGCGTGTTCGAAAAAAAACTCCAAGTGTGAATGAAGCTTCAATGAAAGAGAAAAATACAGTTAACTCTTCTGTGCACGGCATGGAGAAGGTCATTCCACTGAAGATAAATGTGATTGCTGTACATTGTGCTCGGCTTTTACTTTTATTTAAGAGCTTACATACTGTGAGGAGAGAAGGGAAATATCCTACTTCTTTATATTGAAGAATGAAATGGCTCACTTACCAGAGTCATCCATCACAGCGATTGCTTGTTCGGTCTTGTGCTGTAAGGCAAGAAGAGCTGCCTGTCTTCCCTTTAAGGCCCTAAGCTGCTCCTGCTGTTGAAGGATCCTTGTCAGCAATGCATGCTGTTTTTTCATATTTTTTAATTCTTCTTTGGCCTCTTGTTGAGGATCTAAGGGCTGCAAATGAAACAGTAATTTGCTATAAAGTCTAGTGACTCACATAACATATAGCAAGTATTACATAAAGATCTAGCATTCGTATGAAAAAATGTCCTGCAGAAATCTCTATAAATTCAACCGCTAGGTATGCTACAATGCATATCACAATCTCATAATGTAACCACAGAAACTGGAAGGTAATATCCAATTTGCCCATAATTACTCATACAGGCAAAAGCATACAAAATATGCAGTGCTGAGGGTTAATTGTATTAAAATATAATCAAAATAAATCTAAGAAGTTACTCCTTCACTTCTACAATATACAGACGCATCATCAAAATTTTGTATGCTGGCATTATTAAACGAAAAAAAAAAAAAAAAAATGGAATTTTGCCAGTAAAATCAGTTTCTTAGAAAAAAAGTACAGGCCACAGGTTCCTCCGAATCCCAGTTGGCCCAGTTTGTAGCAAGCAATAGGAAGATCAAAAGAAAAGACTGGTGGGACCTGTGGCCTGTACTGTAGGCCAATAAACTGATTTTACTGGTATAACAAAAATCCAATTGTTTATGTTGTACAGTACAAAACAAGGTATTTAGTCTTTACCTATTGGGCATTCAAAAGTAGTCCAGCTGAGTGGTGGGCAACACTGTAACATGGGCCTGTTGGCATTTGTTTGCAAACAGGTTAAGAAAAGCTCCACAGACTCAGAGAGAAGCTTGTAGCACCTCACACCTGAAAAAGACATCAGATGAGCTCTGGACATCTATTAACTAAAAACTTAATAGAAGATAAGATGAAAAGCCTTGCACATCTGAGAAACAGATGCAAATACAGAAAAAACCCATGAAAGACTAAGGCTGGCCATACATTAAACAATTTTCTTGAGAATATTGCTTTAGATTTACCAAAAACCATATAATATGTGGTCAAACTTAAACAACACTTTCAATTGTATCCAATTAGGCAGGCCCTTGCTCTACATCAGCGGTTCTCAACCTGGGGGTCGCGACCCTTTGGGGGTCGAACGACCATTTCACTGGGGTCGCCTAATATTTCCGATGGTCTTAGGAACCGAGACACCGCTCCTCTGACTCAGTCGATGTGTGGGCGGGATGATACGCTGCCCTGTCACCTGGCCACACCTCCGGGATCACAACAGCTGCGCCTCCTCGCCGCTGATTGGCCACCGGAACTGTAGCTCAGGAGAGGCACACAGGCGGCCAATCACCGGCGAGGAGGTGGAGCTTGGAGAGGAGGAGCCGAGCGGCAGCGCGCGTAGATCTAAGAAGATCGAGGGAACTGCCGGAGTAAGTGAAGAGGAGAGCGGCCAGAGAAGGAAGACAGCTGACAGGTAAGTGAGAGAGCGAGCCCAGGCTGGAGCAGGGGTCAGCAAGGTAAGTATCATTGGTGTCAGTGGGAGGAATAGTGCCCCATCATTTGTGTCACTAATACCAACGATGGGGCACTATTCCTCCCCCCATTGACACCAACGATGGGGCACTGGTCCTCCCCCCACTGACACCAACGATGGGGCACTGGTCCTCCCCCCACTGACACCAACGATGGGGCACTGGTCCTCCCCCCACTGACACCAACGATGGGGCACTGGTCCTCCCCCCACTGACACCAACGATGGGGCACTGGTCCTCCCCCCACTGACACCAACGATGGGGCACTGGTCCTCACCCCCACTGACACCAACGATGGGGCACTGGTCCTCCCCCCACTGACACCAACGATGGGGCACTGGTCCTCCCCCCACTGACACCAACGATGGGGCACTGGTCCTCCCCCCACTGACACCAACGATGGGGCACTGTTCCTCCCCCCCCTGACCCCAACGATGGGGCACTGTTCCCCCCCCCCTGACCCCAACGATGGGGCACTATTTCCCCCTCCACCACACTGACACCAATGATGGGGCACTATGCCCCCCACTGACACCAATGATGGGGCACTATGCCCCCCACTGACACCAATGATGGGGCACTATGCCCCCCACTGACACCAATGATGGGGCACTATGCCCCCCACTGACACCAATGATGGGGCACTATGCCCCCCACTGACACCAATGATGGGCACTATGCCCCCCACTGACACCAATGATGGGGCACTATGCCCCCCACTGACACCAATGATGGGGCACTATGCCCCCCACTGACACCAATGATGGGGCACTATGCCCCCCACTGACACCAATGATGGGGCACTATGCCCCCCACTGACACCAATGATGGGGCACTATGCCCCCCCACTGACACCAATGATGGGGCACTATGCCCCCCACTGACACCAATGATGGGGCACTATGCCCCCCACTGACACCAATGATGGGGCACTATGCCCCCCACTGACACCAATGATGGGGCACTATGCCCCCCACTGACACCAATGATGGGGCTCTATTCCCCCCACTGACACCAATGATGGGGCACTATTCCCCCCACTGACACCAATGATGGGGCACTATTCCCCCCACTGACACCAATGATGGGGCACTATTCCCCCCACTGACACCAATGATGGGGCACTATTCCCCCCACTGACACCAATGATGGGGCACTATTCCCCCCACTGACACCAATGATGGGGCACTATTCCCCCCACTGACACCAATGATGGGGCACTATTTCCCCCTCCACCACACTGACATCAATGATGGGGCACTATTGCTCCCACTGACACCAATGATGGGGCACTATGCCCCCCACTGACACCAATGATGGGGCTCTATTCCCCCCACTGACACCAATGATGGGGCTCTATTCCCCCCACTGACACCAATGATGGGGCTCTATTCCCCCCACTGACACCAATGATGGGGCACTATTCCCCCCACTGACACCAATGATGGGGCACTATTCCCCCCACTGACACCAATGATGGGGCACTATTCCCCCCACTGACACCAATGATGGGGCACTATTCCCCCCACTGACACCAATGATGGGGCACTATTCCCCCCACTGACACCAATGATGGGGCACTATTCCCCCCACTGACACCAATGATGGGGCACTGTTCCCCCCACTGACACCAATGATGGGGCACTGTTCCCCCCACTGACACCAATGATGGGGCACTGTTCCCCCCACTGACACCAATGATGGGGCACTGTTCCCCCCACTGACACCAATGATGGGGCTCTGTTCCCCCCACTGACACCAATGATGGGGCTCTGTTCCCCCCACTGACACCAATGATGGGGCTCTGTTCCCCCCACTGACACCAATGATGGGGCTCTGTTCCCCCCACTGACACCAATGATGGGGCACTATTCCTCCCACTGACACCAATGATGGGGCACTATTCCTCCCACTGACACCAATGATAGGGCACTATTCCCCCCACTGACACCAACGATGGGGCACTATTCCCCCCACTGACACCAATGATGGGGCACTATTCCTCCCAATGACACCAACGATGGGGCACTATTCCCCCCACTGACACCCAACGATGGGGCACTATTCCTCCCACTGGCACCAACGATGGGGCACTATTCCTCCCACTGGCACCAACGATGGGGCACTATTCCTCCCACTGGCACCAACGATGGGGCACTATTCCTCCCACTGGCACCAACGATGGGGCACTATTCCTCCCACTGACACCAACGATGGGGCACTATTCCTCCCACTGACACCAACGATGGGACACTATTCATCCCACTGACATCAGTGATGGGGCACTACTCCTTCCACTGACACCAATGATGTGGCACTAGTCCTCCCACTGCAAAATTACAGTTATGAAGTAGCAACGAAAATAATTTTATGGTTGGGGGTCACCACAACATGAGGAACTGTATTAAGGGGTCGCGGCATTAGAAAGGTTGAGAACCACTGCTCTACATAGTTGAAGGTAAATATAAAGGAAATTGGACAGAAAATTGTACAGTGTATGGCCAGCCTAAGTCCTGATTCACACATATGCGGTGCAGATTGAAGCTCAGGTTTCACAGCTAAATTGATACAGCAGTTGTTGACAGGTTCACGTCAGGTTTACATCAGGTTCAGGACAGGATTAGTATAGGAACGTATCCTGTTCACACATATGCGGTTTAGGAATGGTTGCAATAAATTTAAATAGCCTGTAATGCGCACCTGAATTGGACAACACTGCTCAGAAATCAGACAGCACTCTTTAAAACAGCACTTAATCAGCACCGACCATATGTGAACAGGCACCATAGGAAGCAATGTTATTTCACATGTCATGTGGATAGGATGAGGTTCAAACTGCATATATGTGAATGGGCACTAAAAGATCTGTTGTAGTGCACCTTAACAGAGCAGAGAGGAACCTGATCCTTTATGCCATAGGCATGTCTATTCTACCTAGCAATGGTGAAGTAAGAAGTAAAGAGTCCCTGCAGAAACCCTCAAAAAGCACAAAGAGGGAATCAAATTACCTAAAAGGAGGCTGTAGCAGAGAGGTAGACCCTTTCAGCACATTTGGACTGTGCATTTGGCAGTACTTTGAAAAAGGCTTCCATCAGGCCCAAGATCCTCATGCAGGCATAATCGGAGGATCAACTCTGGGGACTGAAGGGTCTGGGTATGACAGCAGGACAGAAGTTTGACCTGGGGCAGGAAAATCCAATGTCAGGCCCAAGTACTCTAATCAATAACTTAGTTGTAAAAATGACTTTCAAAGGTTGAGGATCCAAATACATCTATGCAGAGTCTGCACTGTCCACTGGAAAGTGACTGACAGGGAGAGAAGGGGACTGATCCTTTAGTAGAAGATTGCCCAAGTACCCCACAATTTGTTACCCCTGTGAACAAAGCAAAGCAAGGCTTGGGGTAAGCACCTTGGTCCAAAGTCAGAGGGCTGCTATCAGCTAAAGAAGGTTGACATATTGGTAAGGCCAATCACCAGCCACAAAAACCCAAAAAAAGAGGGAGGCAATGAGTGACCTGGCTGAATCCATATAGAATTTTTGAACCTGCAGGAACAAATTGAGTCTTCAGATCCTGGATGGGTCAAACTCCTCCATTTGGCTTAGAAA